AAACAGAACAAAACCACACTTAATGGTCTGACTGAAACTGGAGGGACCCTGGAAGACATGGCCCCCGGACTCTCCATTAGCCCAGAGCTGAAACCATTCCCAAAGTCAGCTCTTCAGACAAAGTATTAGACTAGACTATAAGACGTAAATTGAATACTCGTGAAGAGCGTGCTTCTTAGTTCAAGTAGATACAGGAGACTAAATGGGCAGCTCCCGTCCAGAGGTGAGATGAGAAGGCAGAAAGGGATAGGAGATTGTTGAATGGACATGGGAAATCTGGGGTGGAAAGGAGGAGTGTGCTGTCACATTCTAGGGATAACAACTAGGGTCACATAACAATGTGTGTATAAATTTCTGTATGAGAAACTAACTTGAGCTGTAAACTTGCACCTAAACACAATAAAAAAAAATAGTAAATAAATGACGTAGAAGGAAATGCCCTATATGTCTATCCACAGATGAATGGATAAACAAAATGGAATACATACATACAATGGACTATTACTCAGTCATAAAGAGAAATAAGTCCTGATGCATGCTATGATGTAGATGAACCTTGAAAACATCATGCTGAGCGAAGTAAGTCACAGAAAGACAAATACTAATGATATCACTTACATGAAATAAGCAAATATATAGAAACCAAAGATACATTAACGGTTACCCAGAGGAAGAGGAAAAGGAGGAGTTTTTGCTTAGTGGGCATTGAGTTTATGTTAATAGTGGTGAAATAATTTAGAAAAGGAGAGTGAGAATGGCTGTACAACATGAAGGACGTAATCAATGTCACTGCACCGTAAGTACAGACATTCTATTGACAATGTTTTGGTGAGTTTATCTTCACAGTAAGAAAGTTAATAAAAAATGGTAATTATAAGAAAAACTAGGTGTGGGGTATTTGGGAACTCTCTATCTTTACAACTTTTCTATAAATGTACAACTATTCCAAAATAAAAAGCTTATTAAAAAAAAAAGACATGGAAAGTTTTCCAAGACCCACTGCCAAAGGAGGCACAGAAAGACACAGCAAACGAAACTCTGTGCTTCTGAGAGGTCCACAGAGCCAATGAACGAAAAAAGATCTCTGCTCCGGGTTCCAGACTATAACCATTGTTGCCCCCAGGTGGTTGACAAGGAGACCAGGATTAGGGGTGGTGTCAAAGGAAATTTAAGCCTAATTTTATTTATATTCTTAATTTTATTTTGTTGTTATTGTTGAGGATATACACAGCAAAACATACACCAATTCAACCGTTTCTACATGTACAACTCAGTGACACTGATTCCATTCTTTGAGTTGTGTACCATTCTCACTCTCCTTTTCTGAGTTGAATTTTAGCCTCGCTTTAAATGCCTTATTTTTTCGCGAGGAGAATTTATTCAGGTAGTACTGGTATAATTTAAAATCAAACTTAAAATAAACACAGGAAGTGTGTGTCCTATATGAGCACATCATTTGTTCAGCTGCCAGGCACGAACTCATTCCCACCATACCAAAAAGAATGAACTCCCCATTTATGGGCTGAGTTGCGTCTTCCAAAAAGATATGTTGAAGTCCTAACTCCCATGTTGTAGACTGAATCGTGTCCCCAAAAAATACGTATTGGAGTCCTGGTCCCTGTATATGTGGATGTGACCCTGTTTGGAAATAGGGGTTTCTTTTGTTATGTGAATGAGGTCATACCAGTGCAGCATGGGTCCTAAACCTAATCATATCCGAGTTATAACAAGAGCAGAACAGATACACAAAATGGTGACAGACGCCATGTAAGGACCCGTCCGTCTACAAGCAAAGGTACGCCAAAGACTGCTGGCAGACACCAGAAACTAGGAGAGACCCACAGAAAGAATTGACATGGTTCAGACCCCAATTTGGATTTTTACCCTCCAGAACTATGAGAAAATAAATTTCTGTTCTTTAAAATCACCTATTTATGGTATTTTCTTACAACAGCACTAGGTGACTAAGCCACTCCAACCGACCAATCAACCCATTGCTGTCGAGTCGATTCCGACTCCCAGCAACCCTATAGGACAGAGTAGAACTGCCCCATAGGGTTTCCAAAGCTGTAGTCTTTACGGAAGCACACCACCACATCTTTGTCCTGCAGAGTGGCTGGTGGGTTCGAATCACCCACCTTGCAGTTAGCAGCTGAGCACTTTATCCACTGCACCACCAGTGCTCCATATATTGGGTTAGGACCCACCCTAATTCACTATGTCCTCATTTTGATTACATGTAGAAGACCTTATTGCCAAACAAGGTCATATTCGTAGGTATTACGGTGTCTTAACCTACCGCTGTGCTTCACAGGAGAAAGATATGGGTCTACTCAGTCCCACGGGTTGATATGAGTCAGAATCAACTCGACGGCAACGGGGTTTTTTTTTTTTTTTCTTCCTCCCAATCTAATACAGCTGGTGTCCTTATAAAAGGAGAAGATACCCAGACACAGAGCAAATACAACCATGTGACCACAGAGGTAGAGACGTGAATGAGACCACTACAAAGCAAGGAACACGTGGGGCAACAAAAGCTGGAAGAGGCAAGGAAAGGTTCTCCCCGAGAGCCTTCAGAGGGAGCGCGGCCCTGCTGACACCGTGATTCAGGACTCCCAGCCTGCAGAACAAGGAGCCCTGGTGGGGCAGTGGTTAAGCACTCGGCCGCTAACCGAAAGGTCTACAGTTCCAACCCACCAGCCACTCCGTGGGAGAAAGGTGTTGCAGTCTGCTTCTGTAAAGATTACAGTCTTGAAAACCCTCTGGGGCTGCTCTTCTCCGTCCTGTAGGGTTGCTATGAGTCAAATCCACTCGACGGCAATGGGGTAAGCCTTCAGAACCCTGGAGTCCCTGGGTGGCGCAAATGGTTAAGCACCCGACTGCTAACCGAAAGGTTCGAACATACCCAGAAGCCCCTCAGATGGCAGGATGGGTGATCTGTTTCCAAAAGGTCACAGCCGTAAAAACTCTATGGAGCAGTTCTACTCTGCATACATACGGTCAAATGGGGTAGCCAAGAGTCTGAGTCGACTGCCCAGCAACTAACAACAACAAGCCTCCAGAACTGTGGACAATAAACTTCTGTTGTTATAAACCACCCCGTTTGTGGTAATTTGTTACGGTAACCCTAAAAAGCTAATACACCCTCCCCTGGAAAAACCTAAAAATGAACTCTTGTTCCCAAAACACATTTTACAGTTGGAAAACTGCATTTCAACAGTCTTGCAAATAAGGCTTGCCAGGTTCTTGGCAGCGATTTACACTCGAACCTCACCCCCGCCACACACACACAGAGTTAGGTGCTCATTAGCCAGGGCCTGGAGGGGAGAACAGCGATGTCGTTAAGCCTGAATTTTAGCTGTGCGAGCGTGACCTGGCAACCAGGGCCTGAAGTTGGCAAGCAGGGGCCTTCCCAGCTCCCGCCATCCCTGCTGGCCTGCAGGGACGAGGCGGCTCACCTCCATGAACTAATTGCTCAGGGCCAGGTCTGAGTCGTTCCTGAAAGTCTGGTTGACACGGAGGTGCCTCTTATTGTTGGCCTGGTCCCAATGCTCCCCATAGCTGGCCTCCAGCTGCGAGTGCACGTGGCCCGAGTCCTCCTCATACTGGACCTGGACCTGAAATGCACACCCCGGTGAGACCTCGAGGCCCGCGCAGTCCCTGGCCTCCTCTCTGCCAGCCACCCCTGGGGTGCTGGCTTGCTTTCCGGGGAGGTGGTTCTATGGGAGGCATGGATTTTTTCCACTACTTTTGATTTTTAAATGTAAGAAGTATATTACTGCATTAGAATATGATTTATCACGATGACTGAGTTTTTTGCACCCTCGTTTTTTAAATTTCACACCCGAGGCGAGTGCCTCACTTGCCTTGCCCTAGTCCACTCCCCAACAGGGAGCTGAATTGCTGGCAGCCCTGTGGGCCCCCTGGGAAAATGACTGATCTGCTTCATATAAACCTGGAACTCCGCCCTCTGCTCTCTCCCGGTAGTGTCTGATCCCAACTTCCTGGACACAGCCTACCTGGATCAGGTCCCACACCTGTGGGCTCCTGGGATTCTCGCCCACCTGGTCGAGGCAACACACTTGCATTCATTTGTTCATTCAGTGAACACACTCTTCCTGAGTGTCAGGGGGGTGCCAGGCTCAGTGCTGGACACCAGCTACCAAGAACAACAAGCCAGAAGACACGGACCCTGCCCTCGTGGAGGCGACGGTCATATGGGGCAGGCAGATCTGAAACACGCAAATTAACAAAGGACCAACTGCTTCTCCCTTTGTTCGTCCTTCCAGCCACTCAGGCTACCTACCAGTTCCTTACATATTCCCTTCTCCCTCCTGCCCCAGGGCCTTTGCACTTCCTGGTGCTTCTGCTTTCACGGGACTGATACTACCTCATATTTTCATTTTCAGGTTGAATGTTACTTTCCCAAAGAATTCTTTCCCATTCTCGCATCCAAACTAGATTCCCCTCTGCTGCACTCTCTCAACCTCTGCTTTGTTTACCACCCACAGCAATCAGCTTCCCAGTGATCTGGCTTTCCTCTCTTTCTCTGTCCCTGCCCAGCAGTGGGGTGGCAGGGACCAGGTGCTGCCTTTGTTCACAGATGAACCTCCAATACTGGGCATACTGCAGGTGTTTAGTAAATGCCTATGTTATGGATTAACTGGTGTCCCCCCAAAATATGTTATAAATCCTAACCCCTACAGTGGTTATGGAGCCCTGGTGGTGCAGTGGTTAAGAGCTTGGCTGTTAACCAAAAGGTCAGCAGTTTGAATCCACCAGCTTCTCCTTGAAAACTCTATGGGGCAGCTCTACCCTGTCCTATAGGGTTGCTATGAGTCAGAATCAACTCTACGGCAATGGGTTATAGTGGTTATAATCCCATTTGGGAATAGGTTTTCTTTATGTTGATGAGCCAGTATTATGGTAAATCAGTCTCTTTTGAGATTTAAAAGAGCAGATCTCATCTGAGATATAAAGCAAGTGCAACTGGGGGAAGAGAGATGCCCCACCACGAGATCTCCAAGGAACCAAGAAATAGAAGCTGAAAAGAGAGAAGGACTTTCCCCAGAGCCCATAAAGACAGAAAGCCTTCCCCAAGAACCAGTGCCTTGAATTTGGACTTCTAGCATCCTAAACAGTGAGAAAATAAATTTCTGTTTGTTAAAGCCACCCACCTGTGGTACTGCTGTTACAGCAGCACTTGGTAACTAAGACAGTCTGAATGGATGAGTAGTGATGGTTAACTTTATGTGTCAACTTGGCTAGGCTATTGTACCTAGTTGCTTGGTCAAACATTTAGTCTAGATGCTGTTACGAAGTAATTAAGAAAAAAAATCAAACTCTTTGCCATCAAGTCGATTCCAACTCATAGCAACCCTATAAGACAGAGTAGAACTTCCCCATAGGGTTCCAAGGAGCAGCTGGTGGATTCGAACTGCCTAGCTTTTGGTTAGCAGCCATAGCTCTTAACTATCTTGTACGATTAAATCAGTCAGATTTAAGTAAAGCAGATTACCCTCTATAATATGTTGGTGGGCCTTATCCAATTACTTGAGCTCCTTAAGAGCAAAAAGGGAATTTTCCCTAGGGCGTATTTTGCCAGGACTCTTCTCCCCTTCCCATCACCTGACCTATGGATTTTGGGACACTCTCTCTCTATATGTATATATACACACACATATATACATACACATATCTACTGCTGGTTCCGTTTCTCCAGAGAACCCTAAGACAATAAACAAAAAATAAATAAACAAAGAACTGAAGACAAGGCCTGAAGTTCCAACCCCCGATCTGTTCCCACGTAGCTGTATGACCCTGAGCAAGTCCATCTCTTTGAGGAGTTCAGGGTACGCAAACCCCCACCACCCCTGGCCCCGTGGCTCCCCAGCCCTCCTCCCCACCCCCACCCCCACCGCAGGGCACCCACCTTGTGGCTGAAGGCGGGGACCTGCGTGCAGTGAAGCTCATGGCCCAGTGCCAGCCTGCAGATGTCGCCTGCGCCGTGCTCTGCCCACAGCTCCTGCCTGGTGCTACACTCCTGCTCCGGCTGCCTCGCCTGACCCGCGTGGGGCAACCCAAGGTCCTGCCCTTCCGCTGCCAGGCAGGTCCCCACCGTGGCTCCCAGGGTCCAACTGGCCAGCCAGGCCTCAGCCACTACCCTCCCCCACTGGGTCCCCCCACATTGCTCCATTGGAACCCATTAATGGGCCATTTGAAGAGATGGGCAGGATGTCTGCCCACCTCCTGCTTCTCCCCCCACCACCATGTGCTTTTTCTTAACAGGCAGGTGGTCAGTCACGTTCAGAGCCAACAGCGTGACTAATGGCTAAGGACACGGCAATAGCAGTGCCTTCACCCATGAAGCCACCGCCCCCAGGCAGGGCAGGTCCCACCACCCCATCCCGCCCACCGGGTACCAGCTTGTACCCAGGAGGCCGCACTTGATCCTCAGGGAGCTGGTCCAGTGGCGGCCCCACAGCTGCAGCAGGCCCAGAGCGTGCAGTCCCAGGAGCCCCGGCAGGAAGAGGTCCCCGCCCAGGGCCACCACCTGCAGCCCGTCCTCCACCTTCTTCTCCAGCAGCACTGTGGGGAGGGGGCAGACAGCCGAGAGGGGCAGGCCTGCCATGTGACTCCACCCAGGGAACGACACCCCCACCCCCAGGACCAGGCAAGGAGAAGGGAGGTGGGGGACCGCAGGGGCCGGGCCAGGGTGAGCTGCTCCCAACCTCCCATCTCCCAGGCCCAGGCGAGGCTGACAACAGGGCTGCAGGTGGTCTTCTCTGCACCGCGGGTAGCAACTCAGAAAATCCATTTGTGGGTCCTAGGTCCCTAGGTGGCGCAAACGGTTTATGCTCGACTGCTAATCTATAAGTTGGCAGTTCGACCCCACCCAGCAGTACCACGAAAGAAAGGCCTGGTGATCTGTTTCCATAAAGATTAAAGTCAAGAAAACCCCATAGGGAGTTCTACTCTGTCACATGGGGTTGCCATGAGTTGGAATTGACTCGACCGCATACAGGCAGAAGTTTTTTAAAATGAAGTCGAACAAAGTAAAACGGAATGGAACAGAAGAGAAATGGCAGTGTATATGTGTTGTCTGGGTAAATTCCACTTTCTGAAACATTCGTTTCTGCTCCGTGTCTATGTGTGCACACTGATGTTCAGCCAGAATGCACAGTACGGCAGGGCACTAGCTGTTCAAACACTGAAAAACGCTCCTGCCATCTACTCAGCACAATCCCTGGGCGGTACAAACCGTTAACGTGCTTGGCTGCTAACCAAAAGGTTGGAGGTTCAAGCCCACCCAGAGGCACCTCGGAAGAAAGCCCTGGCTAACTACTTACAAAAAAGCAGTCATTAGAAACCGTGTGGAGCACAGTTCTACTCTGACTCACATGGGGTCACCGTGAGTTGGAATCAACTGGACAGCCACTAGAAAATGTGGTTAACAGCCACCACTTCAAGTGTCCCCGTCCCTGACCTTCCTCAGGACCCCTGGAACGGCCCATGATGAGCCCCTGAAGCTGACGCCCAGGCCTGCTCCAGCATCATGGCGGGCATTTTCTGCAACTGACCAGTGCCTGGGCCAGTCCCTGCATTTGATATTTTCAATGGTACTGGGCGTCATTTGAGATCAAAATGCAAAATGTGCTTCTTACTGTGGACTGGAATCAAAACAGTCCCAAAGCTGCTGTTCGAAGGTACAGAAGAGGCATGGGGTGGAGGGGGAGGGGAAGTGAATTAGTGAATTAGAAGGGGAGCCTGGGGGACTCGAGGGAAAGCTGTGAGTGGATACAGGGCCTGGATCTCTCCTTGGATGGGATGTTGGTATTGGGAATGGGGATTACAAAAGGAGCCCTTAGCCCCCCTGTAGCCTCATCACTGAAGAGACGGTTAGGGTATGGGATGGGGGCGTCCCACCTCCTACCTGACACGTGGGCCCGGTCACTCAGCAGGTTGCTCAGGGCAGCGGAGAAGGCCAGCTTGCTGCCCACCTGCAGGGTGAGGTTCCCGGCCAGGACCACGGGGTTGCCCACCCTCACCAGCTTCACCTCCAGCTGGGCCTCGAACCACTGGGCCCCACTGCCTGCTGCCAGCTGCAGGTCGCTCCGGCCCTGAAAAGGCCCAACATCAGCTGGGAAGGGCACTGAAAGGGAAGGTTCTCCCCCATGTCATGTATAATAAAACATTTGCCATTCAACCACTTTTTAGTGTTCGACTCAGTGACATTAATTACATTCTCCACGCTGTGCAAACATCACCATTATCCATTTCCAAATTTTTCTATCCTCCTTAACAGAAACTCAGAACCTTTTAAGCAATGCCTCCCCATGCTTCCCTTATCCTCCTCTGTTGCTGTTGTTGTTAAAAAAAAAAAAAAAAACTGTGTGCCGTCGAGTCGATTCTGACTTGTAGTGACCCACAGTTCAGAGGAGAACTACCCCATAGGGTTTCCAAGGAGCAGCTGATGGATTCGAACTGCTCACCTGTTGTTAGGGGCCATCAAAAGTCAATTCAGACTCATAGTGACCTTGTGAGACAAAGTAGAACTGCCCCATAGACTATAATCTAAGCTATAATCTTTACAAGAACAGATTGCCAGATCTTTCTCCCGCAGAGCTGCTGGGTGGGTTCAAACTGCCAACCTTTAGGTCAGCAGCCAAGCGCTTAACTGTTGTGCCATCAGGGCTCCTTACCCACCCCTGGTAACGACTAATAAACCCTGGTCTCTATGCATTTGCCTATTCTAGATATTTCATACAGTGGGATCACACAGTGTTTGTCCCCATGTCATTCTTAAACACCATAAAATCTGCCTTATATTCATGAGCAACTCTACCTCAGTTTCCCCACCCCACATGGGGTTACTGAGAGGACTTCGAGAGAAGTGCATGGGGGATCCTGGGCCCAGGACCACCCGCATGCAGCCGGAACGGTCTTCAGGAAGCTCAGGCTGTTACCGCTTTTGTGATGGGCCTGGGGCAGGTAGAACTGAGTTTCTCTAAAGCCAGAAGCTTCCAGGCTGCTGCCAGCTCTCTGGGGAGCGGCAGAGGGCCCTCAGGAGGCTGAGGCAATTCGCGCTTGTCATTTTGCCAACAGCAGGAAGTGTGAGGGCTCCCAGAGGCTCTGCAACCCACCTGCAGGGCTCAGCAGTCAGCAGCCCTGGGAGGAAGACAGCTTCCCTGGTTTTCCTCCTGCCCAGGCACAGCAGAGGCGGGAACCAGGAGTGTGTTTAAGCAGCAATCCAACCCGGCTCCAGACACTAAACTCCAGACTTGCTTGAGAAATCACTGGAAACCGATGCACAATTGCAGCCCTCACTGCCAGCGGTGCCCACAGTTTCTGCTTGGTGCGAGGTCTAATGCTGCCGTGTTTTACACTTTGGGAGTCACAGACCCAGGTGAGAACTGGACGACAGTTCTAAACCCTGTCGCTGGAAGGACAGGCAGATGCAAAAACTCTGCACACAATTTCAGGGGCCTCAATGACTCACTGAGTCCCCTCCAGCCACCCTGGTTAAGAACTTTGGAAAAGTACCAATAAGATGAAAATGCACACACCCTTTGGGCACACACCCTTAGCCGTTCTGCTGCTAAGATTTTACCCTGCAGAGAGACGGGCGTTTAAAAAACAGCACATTTATAAGAGCAAAAACATGGGAGAAACCAAAGAGCCCTTCACTAGGGAACTAGCTAAATAAATTCCATTCAATGGAACATTCCAAAGGTGCTCAAAATACACCCGAAATGTGTGCATTTTTTTAAAGGTGGGATAATATAGCAATACCTATTGCTAATTGTGTCCACAGATTATTTCTGGAAGGAATCACAAAAAAACTAAGAGTAGTGGGCTATGGGGAAAGGAACTGCGGAGCTGGGGTGGACAAGAGAATTTCTGACTCTATACCAGCACTCACCAATAGAACTTTCTGGAATGATGGAAATGTTCTATCACCTGTGCTGTCCAGCATGGTAGGCACTAGCCACATGTGGCTACTGAGTGCTTGAAACGTGGCTAATGTGACTAAGGAACTAATGTTTAATTTTATTTAATTTTAATCCATTTAAATAGCCACATGTGCTAATGGATACCGCACTGGACTGTACAACTCGGTATCCTTTTGTATCTTTTGAACCCTGAAGCATTTAAACGTATTCCTGTTCCCGTGGAGTTGATGCCAACTCATGGTGACCCCATCTGTTACAGAGGAGAACTGCTCTATAGGGCTTTCTTGGCTGTAATCTTTACGAAAGCAGATCATCAGGACTCTTTTCTGGGGCGCTGCTGGGTGAGTTCGAACCACCAGCCGTTCGTTTAGTAGCTGAGCAAAAACCAGTTGCACTCTTCAGGGACCTTTAACTGTATTACCTGTTTTAAAAAAAAAAAAAAAGCTAAATAAAATTACCTTATGCCAGCACATGCTAGTATAAAAAGAATGCCAAGATATATCTTTGAGTAACAAAAACCAAGGTGCAAACAAAGACTAGAGCGTGATCCTTTTGTGTAAAAACAAAAACAAAGGTTTCGCAGGCATATAACCTGGTGGGTACATCAACATTTCTTCTGGAAATTTTTTAATGTTTTAACTTGGCCTTTTATACCTTTCTGTACTCTGAAATGTTTAAAGCATTTCCTGTGTTATTTTAAGACCAATGGGACTAGTAATGGTGGGATCTGAGCCCACTTTTTCTTAATATTTTTCTGGGTGATAAGAACTAATAGTTGTTACTTGACAGGTAGAAGAGGAAGAGCTGCTGAAACCCCAAGGAACATGGTGACTGTTAAGCGGGGACCTGGGGTGGAAATGCCCAGGTGGCTGGCAGGTGCCTGGGACAGGTGGGCCGAGAACGTGGAGCACACCTTGATGTAGTAGACATCCCTGTCATCCAGAATCAGTTCCAGGTGGCCCATGTGGGCACTCCGGAGAGCTTCGATCTTTCCTGGGAGACAAGCAGAGAGTTTAGAGAGTTGTGTTCAATATCCTGGTTCTGCCCCTGCATTTGCTGGGTGATCCCCTGCTGGTTCCTTAACCTCTGAGACTGTGGCTCCCCCTGTAAATGGGGCTGGGTTTAGTGCTGGCATCACAGGGGCAGGTGCCCGGCCCTGGGCCTGGCATGTGGCAAGGGCCACAGTGAATGTGGAAGAGAACTGTCATTACCGTCCAGCTCAATTTTCTTCCTGGATGGAGAAGCTTGAACCAGAACTTCCTCTGGGACAAGCTGTAGCTGATGTCCACCCCGACATCCCTTGGCACTTCCAGCTTCGGCGTGCCCATGAAGACGTGGGCTGCGGCTTCTTGAGGGAGCCAGCTGTCCTTCTGGAAACATAATGGGGTCCTCAAGACTGAGAACGCCTCCCTGGTCCTGAGACTCCCCCTCTTCCAGAGAAAAGGCCCTACCCCACACTTAGAAAACTTGATGTTACAAGAGAGGAACCCAACCAGAAATTTCTTGGGATCTAAAATTGTACCCCGGGGAAGAGCAGAGCCCTGTAGAACAACCCAGAATCTTCCCCTTTGTTGTTAGCCGCCAGAGAGTCGGCCCCCGACGCACGGTGACCCCATGCACAACAGAACAAAACCCTGCCCGGTCCTGCGCCATCCCCATGATCGGTTGCAGATCAGACCCTTGTAATCTATAGGGTTTTCATTGGCTGTATTTCAGAAGTAGATCAGCAGGTCTTTCTTCCTTTCATCCTAGTCTAGAAGCTCTGCTGAAACCTTTTCAGCATCATAGCAACACGTAATCCTCCACTGAGAGACGCATGGTGGCTGCGCATGAGGTGCGTTGGCCAGGAATCGAACGCACGTCTCCCACATGGAAGGCGAGAAATCTACCGCTGAACCACCCCTGTCTCCAGAGGCATATCTACGAGATCTCAACTTGTTCAGCAAATGAGCGAGAAGCAAGGTGTAGCAGACGCCACTGGTGCCCTGCCCAGATCCCCTCGGATCCCTTTAACCAGCTCTGTGTGCCTACGGCCCTGTTGCTGTGTGCTTTCCTGTTAATGGTTAGCACCTGGGACCTCCAGAACATTGCCCTCCCACACTGGAGCACAAAAACTCCAGCTCCTTAGTGGTACGGATTGAATTGTATCCCCCTAAAATATGTGTTGGAATTCTAACCCCTATACCTGTGGATATGATCTAATATAATCACCTTCCATAATGCAATCTAATGTCATCAGTTAGCTGAAGTCATGTCAGCGTACCGTGGATCCTAAACCTGATCACTCCTCAGTTATATAAAGAGCAGAATAGACACACAAGCAAGCACAAACTGGGGAAGACAGATGCTACGTGAGGATCGCCAAGGAACGGAGGAACACCCAGGCTACCGAGAAGCCTGATTTGGACTCCTGGCCTCCAGAATTGTGAGAAAATACATTTCTGTTCTTTCAAGCGACCCACTTGTGGTATCTGTGTTACAGCAGCACTAGGAAAGCAAGACAATTGGCTTCAAGAGGAACAAACACTGAGGTGTAACTTGCACTGCACAGCTCCCGGCGGGATCAGGCTGAGGCTGGGACCTCCCCTGAATCATTCCTTGCTCAGCTTCTTCCCCTTCCCTCTCCTGCTTCCCCCACTCCCTTGCTGGTTCCTCCCAGTGTTCTTCCTTAATTGATCACTTTTACCCAGTCTCAGACATAAGCAGCCTTCAAACGCCCAGCATCAATGTACATTCACCACCAAGGAACATTCATGACTGTGGGTGAGGCACAGTGCTAGACACACAGTCGGCACCCTCACGGAGCCTGCGTTCTAGAGGTGGGGGCACGTAACCACCAGGCAGAAAAACAGGTAAGATGGCGAGCGCTGGTGAGGGCTGTGCTGACAAAGCCAGCAGGGAAGGGGCCCTGACAAGGGTCACTGTTCTAGATAGGGTGGCATTTGAGGACAGGCTTGGAGGAAGCAAGGAAGAGCGGCAAGTGGATGTCTGGGAAAGAGTGCTCCAGGCAGAGGAAACAGCCAGTGCAAAGGTCCTGAGGCAGGAGGCCAGTGTGTCTGAAGTGTGGTGAGCCTGGTGACAAGTAGGGAGGTGGGGAGGAGAGGCTGGCAGGGGCCAAATCGTGGAGGGCCTGTCGGTCAGGGGTCTGGCTTTACTCTGTGGGTGATGGGAGCCACTGGAGCGTTCTGGGTAGAGGAAGAACTCAATTCATTTGAATTTTAGAAAGGTCCCTCTGGCTGCTTGCTTTGGACACATCAAAAGGAAAGACCAATTGCTATAAAAGGACACCCTGGTTAGTAAAGATTCCAAATAAAGGTGATCCAACAGAGTATGGAAATCATCAAACAATATCATCAATATCACATGCAGGTAAAATTTTTCTGATGATAATTCAAAAATAGTTGGAGCAGTACATTGACAGGGAACTGCCAGAAATTCAAGCCAGATTCAGAGGAAGATATGGAACGAGGGGTACCAATGATGATGTCAGATGGATCTTGGCTGAAAGCAGAGAATATAAGACAGATGTTTACCTGTGTTTTATTGACCATGCAAAGGTATTCGACTGTGTGGACCATAAGAAAGTATGGATAACATTGTAAAAAATGGGAATTCCAGAACACTTAATTGTGCTCATGCAGAACCTGTACATACACCAAGAGACAGTTGTTTGAACAGAACAAGGGGATACTGCATGGTTTAAAGTCAGGAAAGGTGTGCGTCAGGGTTGTATCCTTTCACGATACCTATTCAGTCTGTATGCTGAGCACATAATCTGAAGAAGAACACCACATCAGGATTGGAGGAAGACTCATTAATCACCTGCGATATGCAGATGACATAACCTTGCTTGCTGAAAGTGAAGAGGACTTGAAGCACTTATTGACAAAGATCAAAGACTACAGCCTTCAGTATGGATTACACCTCAACATAAAGAAAACAAAAATCCTCACCATGGGACCAATAAGGAACATCATAATAAATGGAGAAAAGACTGAAGTTGTCAAGGATTTCATTTTACTTGGATCCACAATCAACGCCATGGAAGCAGGAGTGAAGAAATTAAAGGATGTATTGCATTGGGAAATCTGCTGAAAAGATCTCTTTCAAGTTTTATATAGCAAATATGTCACTTTGAGGACTAAGGTATGCCTGACCCAAACCGTGGTATTTTCAATTGCCCTAAATGCATGCAAAAGCTGGAAAATGAATAAGGAAGACTGTAGAGGAATTAATGCACTTGAATTATGGTGTTGGTAAAGAATATTGAGTATACCACGGACTGCTAGAAGAACCAACAAATCTATCTTGGAAGCAGTACAGCTGGAACACTCCTTAGAAGCAAGGTTGGCAAGACTTCTTCTCACGTACATTGGACGTGTTATCAGGAGGGACCAGTCCCTGCAGAAGGACATTACGCTTGGTCAGGTAGAGGATCAGCGAAAAAGAGGAAGACCCCCAACGAGATGGATTGACACAATGGCTGCAACAATGGTCTCAAACATAGCAACTATTGTGAGGATGGCACAGGACCGGGCAGTGTTTTCTCCTGTGTACGTAGGGTCGCTATGAGTCAGAACCAACCCAACGGCACCTGACAGCAACAACAACAAAGTGGAGGGTCGGCCCGGGTAAGGGAGGTCTTCACTGAGAGGGGCGATAAAGTGGCCAAAACAATGGACTCAAACGTAGCAATGATCATGATGATGATGCAGGACCAGGCAGAGTTTCATTCCGTTGTACCCAGGGTAGCCATAAGTCAGAGCTGAGTTGAAGGCAACTAACAACAACAACTCTGGCTAGTGGTAGAAAATGGACGGTAAGGGGGCAAGCGTGGGATCTGGGACAGTGGATGGGAGGCTGTTGAGTGTCTGCTGTCTGCCAGGCATTGGAGACACAGGAGCAAAAAAGCAGGTTGTCCCTGTTACAGGAACTGAATGACTAGCTGGGGAGACAGATATTAACCAACCAGCTTCACTAACAAACATAAAAGGGATCTAAAGGGAAGAAACATTGTCCTATAAGAGCATGGAACGAAGGAACATGACCTAGTTTGGGGTAATCAGAGCAGGCTTCCCTGAGGAGGTGACTTCTAAACTGAGAGATTCAGAGTTAACAAGGCAGAGAGCCCCAATCAGAGGGATCAGCATGTGCAAAGGCCCTGTGGCAGGACCTGCCCAGCCCAACAGCCCAGAGAGGAACCCCATAATGCTTGCGGGTGAGCCCAAGGCTGACCTCTGAGTGAGACAGGGATACCACAACCTGCCTGGGGTGGAAAACACAAGCAGGCCCCAGGGGGAGGAAGGGGCATTCCAGAGGGCCTACCTGGGGGTAGAGGTTGTAGGCAGCTTCCAGCAGATACTGCTGGAGGCCTGGATCCTGCTTCTTCAGTGTCACAGCCATGGACACGGGCACTGACAGCAGATAGGGCTGGCCAGGTCACCTCAGTGCACAGCTGCCAGCCCCAGGTGCGGGACACTGCAGAGAGAGGTGACTAGGCAGCACTGGTCAGTCAGAGCCAGCGGGCTCTGGGCGCTGGCCCACAACAATGCAGGAGGCTCTGTCGGCAATGAACAAGCGTCTCTGTTTTCTTTTGAGAAACAGTACTGTGTAAACATTAGTTGTATGAGGTAGTACCGTGTAGACCAGGGTTTCTCAACCTCATTACTACTGACATCTGGGACCAGACAATTCTTTCTTGTGGGGGGCTTCCCTGTGCACTGTAGGATGTTTAGCAGCCTGGCCTCTACCCACTAGATTCCAGTGACAACCCTCTAGCTGTGACAACCAAAAATGTCTCCACGTTGTCAAACGTCCCTGGGTTGGTGTAGGTGGGTGAGGAAGCACTTCAGTTGAGATCCCCTAGTGTAGACTTAAAAAGAGTGTGGACCACCCTGTGCCATTAGACCAGAAGCGGGTGCTGCCCAGCCACCGTTACTGAATGTTTTGATGAAAGATTCTACGAAGAATCCTGATCAAGACAGAAAAATGCAAAGGATTTCAAATTTCCATGGAATCCAGACTTTCTGGAGCCATAGAGGCTGGGTGAACCGTTGAAACTATTATCCTGAGACAATCTTTAAACCTTAAACCAAAAAGATGCCGTGAAGTCTTCTTTAAACCAAACAGCAGTTTAATTAGTAAAGAACGTCTGCCTTGAGCATTGTGCCCTTTTAGAGAACTATCTATATGGGATCAAGTTGACAACAGCAACTCGAAAGGTCAGATAGGAAGCTTGGGGGCAGTGAGTTTACGTTAATGGGGGAGGGAAAATTTGGAAAAGCAGGGTGAAAAAGCTGCACAACTTGAAGAATATAATCAGTGTCACTGAATTGTACATGTAGAAATTGTTGAATTGGTGTATTTTTGCTATGTCTATTTTCAACAATAATTAAAAAAAAGAGAGAGAGAGAATGAGTGCGGACCCGTACCATGTAGAGGTTAAGAACACAAGTTCCCAAGCCTCCTACCTGGGTTCAAATCCCAGGTCTGCCACCTCCCAGCTGTGTGAACTTGGGCAAATTACTTAACATCTCTGTGCCTCTATGTTCCTCCTCTGTAAACTGGGAATGATAACAGCACCAGCTTCATGGTGTTGCTCTAAGGATTAGTAGGTCTACAAGCATGTAGAACAGTTCTTGTCTACATTAATAAGTGCTAATTTTTTTTTGGAGCAGTGGTTAAGCGCCGGGTTGTTAACCAAAAGGTGGGCGGTTCGAACCCACCAGCCACTCCCGGGAGAAAGATGCAAGCAGTCTGTTTCCGTAAAGAGTTAACAGCCTTGTAAAACCTACGAGGCAGTTCTACTCTGTCCTATAGGGTTCCTATGAGTCGGAATCGACTCAACGGCAATGGGTTTTGTTTTGGTTTTATAAAAACGTACTCATCGCAGAAAATTAGAAAATCCAGAAAAGTGTTTTTTAAAGCTTTCTGTATGTGTGCTATACTTACAAAAAGTTTATTTATAAGTCTTTTTAAATCCAAAATATCACCTAGAAGCAAAATTTGTATGTGTTCATCCATCCTCACCTCACTCCAAAAGTAATTGGGAAAAAAAAAATCTCTATCAGTGCCTGTCCTGAAAACATAGCTACCACACCTTCCTCGCTTTCACAGCAAATAAGACCATTAACACAGGGCGTGGGGGAGGGAGGAGAGGCTGGAAGCTCTGCTCTTATTTGGCTTATTTCCTTCCCGTCCTTTTAGCCAACTGAGATGATATTCAATTTTGTTGTCTTTCCTTTAATATTATCACCATAGAATTTTCTCATGTTATTAAAATACCTCCTTCATCATAGGGTTTAAGAGTTTTGAAATAGCTCCACAGTTTACTAAATCAGGTGTCAGCAAACACAAAAGCAAGTATACAAGCTACATAAACCAATGGGTGTGGCTATGTTTGAACATACAACTTCATTTATGGACACTGACGTTTGAATTTCATAAAACTGTCACGTGTCATGAAATACTCTTCTTTCGATTGTTTTTCAACCATTAAAAAATGTAAAAACCCATTCTTAGCTTGCAAGCCATAGTTTGCCAACCCTACTGTTAGACATTTGCGTTGTTTCCTTTTTTGCTCTTGTAAATAATAATGCAATGAACATCTTTTTGCATGGTGCATTTAAAAGTGATTTCAGATTCTTTCCACAGGGCAGAGCTCTAGAAGCAGAATTACTGAGTTAAGCGGTACTTTTGGGCAGAAGAGCAACTCTGGGATTTGGAGCTGATGTCACCCCCCTCAAGCCCAGGACACCCACCTGGGGACACCTACCTTCCTTGTCGGTACGAGTGGGCCTTAGAGGGGCTGTGGTCCTGACTGAGGCTCCTCGGGTCACCCCCAGTGATGAGATACAGCTTAGAGCTGGGAGGAGGAGGAGGACAGTTCCAGACAAGTCATTTCCATTCATTCATTTGACAAATATGCCTCGAGCTGCCCGTGCTTGGCACTGGGGCAGATTCCACTGTGAACAGGACAGGCCTTTGGGACTGGCACTCCAGTGGAGAAGACACTCAATTAACATGTCAACAAATGCATAAATGCCATGGAAAGCCTAAAACAGGGGCAGCATGGGGCTCCATCCTGCAAAGGTAACATTTGAGCAGAGACCTAAAGGACAAGAAAGGGCCAGCATATCAAACAGAGGGAATGGCAAGTGCAAAGGCCCGGGTAGGAATGCGGTGTTCCTGCAAGGAGTACAGAAAGAAGGCTGGTGTGAGGGGCTGGGTGGAGGGAGGCGGAGTGAGCAGGGGAAGAGAGGAGGAGGGCTCCCATTAGCCTGGGGAGGAGCCTGGATTTTACTCTAAGAAGGAGGGTTGGGGTGAGATGACTTAATTTAGATTTTAATGACCTCTCTGGCTGCTGCTGGGAGAAGGGCTTGGAGGGCAGCAGCGGGGACATGCCTGGGGCCTCAGGCTAGGGTACAGACAACAGGAAGGAAACAGGTGGACAGGGCCCAGGTAGAAGCCTCCAGGAGCAGCCTGGGTTCACTCCTGCTCAATCTGAAACCACCCACTCTCCAAGTATAACCTCCTGAGGGGGTCAGGGGCCAGCGAACTTGACAAGGAGAACCCAGGAGGGACCTTGGACCTCCCCACAGTGCCCTCAGTGGCACACGTGCACACACATGCTCACACACACACGTTTGCAGACACAAACACACTCACACATGTGTTCAGAGGCATATGTTCATAGACATATGTTCAGACACATTCACAAACACACGTTATAGACGTGCTAACACAGATGTTCACAGACACACACCCGTTCACACACATTCACAAACATGTTACAGACGTGCTAACACAGATGTTCACACACACCCATGTTCACACACACATTTAGACACCCAGTCTCTCATGCAAACACATACACACACAAAACTCCCAGACACACAAACTCTCTCATATATACATCCTCACACTCATACACATACACGCTCACACTCAGGCGCACACACACAGGACACTCAGATACACACCTACTTTCACAGGCATACATGCTCACACACACACCCACACAGACTCACAGACGTGTTAATGCTCACACACATGATCATATACACACAGATTCACTGGCACACATGCTCAAACTCACTCATTTACAAGCACGCTCATGCCACATTCATATGTACAGGCACACCTTCATGCACACGTGTGCACGGACCCCTCCACTCTCGCAACCATATACCTGTTGCACACACACGCTCACACACGTTCACAGGCACAGGTGTATGTCCCCACACATGCTCACAGATACACAACTCACCTTCTCATAGGTACACACATGCACTCACACTCACAGACACACACGATCACACACTTGCTCACAGACACGCATACACTCATGCACGTGTGCCCACGACGTCACCCCCTCTGCTCTCTGGTGTGAGTGCCACCTGAAGCTGAGCAGCTCTACAGCCTTCTGGGGTGTGTTCAGGTGCACCTTCAGCTCCCGGCCCTTCCTCGGCTGACTCCTGCCGTCCAGGCTGGCGGCGCGCAGATGTCGGTCACCCACCTCAGCCCGGCCCGCCCCAGGGCACCCGCTGTGCCCATTTGTGCTGAGACCTGGAGCAGGGCACTGAGGGAGAGGCACACACCAGCTGCAGCTGCAGGCCTGGCAGCTCAGGGTCACCCCAGTCCAGTCTGCAAACCCGGCGTCAACCCACCCGCCGCCCCAGGCTGTTTTCCTCCACCCTGAGCCAGAGTACCCCCTTCACTGTGGCCACCACCCATTGACCACTCCGTAGCACTAAGTACCTTCCACACACTGTCCCGCTAGTCCTTATCATCATTAGCCCCATGTTACAGATGGGGAAACTGAGGCCCACAGAGGTGAAACCAACTGCCTTAGAACCCACAGCTGGGACACAACAGAGCCAGAACTCAGACCCCAGCTGTGTGACTCGCAAGGCCATCTCAAAGGGCCTCCAGGGCACGGGACGCCCACGTTCTCACATCAGACCCAGTAACTGGCGGCACATCAGCTGAGTGGTTGGGGACAGTCACTCAGCAGGTCTGGGACAGGCTCTAGAACTGAACAGAGTAGTGAGCAATTCCAACTCAGACGCTTTAGTGCCATGGGCCCCTGGGATGGCGGTGTAATCTCCCTGAGCCTCAGTTTCCTCAGCAGTTTGTTAAATGGGAGTAAGAAAAGTGCACGCGTCACTGGGTGGTGGTAATAAGTCAACAGGTTCAGAGCTGAGCCCGTCTTACAAGCTGGGTGGATCGCCCTCCCCCCACCTCCCCTCAGAGACAGAGTGGAGTAGAGGGTACAATCATTGGGCTGTGGCATCAAATTAGCCTCTGTCAGAATCCCAGCCACCCTGCGCTGCTGTGTGACCTTGGGCACATGACCACCTTCTCTGAGCCTCAGTGTTCTCATCTGTAAAGTGGGCATAACAGCTCAGCATCCTCCTCACACAGTAGCTGGTATGACAGGAGGTCCACAGAGTAAGGCCCCTCTCCAGCCCACACTGATGCCTCCAGAGCGTCCCAGCTCACTGCAGCCCCTGCAAGAGGAAGTCCCACCCCCAGCTCCCAGGAACCAGCCACCTGGGCTTGACGTAGCCATTCACAGAGAAATCTGAGAGCTGCTGGAAGTTGGTGGCCCCTCGGACACAGACGCTGATGGCAGCCACGGCGTTTAGGGTCAGCTGGGCTGGGAGGCCAGACATGGTGGGGAAAGCGAGCTCCTCCATGGCCAGGCTCAGCCTCCGGTTCACCTGCACCTCCTGACCCTGTGGCCGAAAATCCACAACGGTGCGCACAGGGAAGCCTCCTCCAAGGGCCAGGCACAGCCCACGCACCAAGCCCATATGACCACATTCAATCCCCACCTCAGCCCTCAGAGGGAATATCCTCACTGCCCTCCCCCACCCCTCCCACGTTTCCAGATGAGGAAACTGAGGCCTCAGACAGATAAACAACCTGCCCAAGACCACGTAGCTAGAGAGCAGTGGAGCCAGGGTTTGAAGCCAGGCAGTTTGCCTATGAGAAAAGGTCAGAGGTTGGGAGTCCAGGGTGAGTGGGCAAGGAGGGACAGGGCCCTGCTCGCAGTACAGAACGTTTAGTATGTGCCAGGCATGTTCTAAGCACTTGGTTGCATTAATTCATTTACTATAACAACCCTATGCAGTACATGTTACTATCATTATTTCCATTTCATCGATGCAGAAACCAAGGCCACAAAAATTTAAGCCACATGCCCAAGGAGATGAGCGATGGAGCTGGGATTTGAACCTGGGCAGTCTGGCTCCAAATTCTGTGCTCTTACGGGTTTGGTCAAAGTGTCAAATGGGAAATGTCAGCAGGGCAGCACAGGACCGAGACCAGCCTGCGATACCTTCAGGAGCTTGACGGCCAGCTCGGCCAGGTTCAGGGACTGCCACTTCACGTGACTCCCCATCGCCCCGCAGTTGACGAAGCTCAGTTCGTGGCCAAACACCTTCACGCTCAGCTTACAGAGTAGCGTCCGCCGCTCTCCACGCCTCTCAGTCACCTGAGGGAGAACCGAGACCGCTGACCAGGAACGAAATGTATTCACCTCAGATGTATGTGGCAGTGACATTTTAGAAGAGCAAAAAGTTGTCAACAGTCTAAGCACTCACCGATAGGAGAGTGGTTATATAAAGTGCAGTCCACCCATAGAATGGATATTAATGTTTATGCTTAGAATGAGTTTTTAGTAAAAAGAGAAAATACTCAAATAACAATATGAAGTAAAAAAGCAGGTGAAATATATGCACAGCCTGTTGTTAACTGCTGTGAAGTTGGCTCCGTCTCATGGCGACCTTATATATAACAACAAAACATTGACCAGTCCTGCATCATCTTCGTGATCATTGGTATAAAGGCGTGTACACACCCTATCACCCAGCATCTCTACTCCCAGATAATGCCAAACAGAGATGCGTATGTATGGTCACCAAAAAGATACACACAAGAATGTTCACAGCACTATGACAATAGCCAGAAACTGAAAACTACCCAAAAACCCATCAAAAAATAAAAAGGGTAAAAAAAAAACAATTGTTGCAGGTTCACAGGGCAGAATACTACACAGCAATGAGAAAGAATAAATTATAAGCACACATAACAACATAGATGAATCTCACCAACAAATTTTAAGCCAAAGAAGTCACATACACAAGAAGAATACATGCGGAGCACTATTGACATGGAAACAACCCAAATGTCCATCAACTGAAGAATGGATCAACACATTGTGGTCTACCCATACAATGGAATATTATTCAACCATAAAAAGAAATAAAGTACTGAGACATGTTACCATGTGGATGAACCTCGAAAACACCATGTTCGGTGAAAGAAGCCCGTCACAAAAGACCATATGTTGTATGATTCCATTTATGTGAAATGTCCAGAATAGGTAAATCCATAGAGACTGAAAACAGACTGATGGTTGCCAGAGGCTGGGGAAGGGGAAAATGAGGAGGAGCTGCTTAATAGGTACGGGGTCTCCTTTGGAGTAATGAAGTGTTCTGGAATTAGAGGTGATGGTTGCACAACATTGCGAACATACTAAATGCCACTGAACTGTTTACTTTAAAATGGTTAATTTTATGTTACATGAATTTTACCTCATTTAAAAAAAAAGGGTGGATACACAGTGGATTAACTGGATGATCCTCCTGCTGCCAGACAAGTTGGACTGGATTTGCTGTCCTGCATGAAAACAACTAGAAACCCGGATGAAATAGATTAAACAACAGTTCCCAGAACATCAGACACCAGGCAATGTGAGACAATGATCCCTAGGATGGGAAACAGGTGAGAGAGCCCAAGCTTACACCCAGAGCAAGTTTCCAGGCTGCGGTGCAGGGAGAGAGAACGGAGGTCAAGCATGGCGGACGCCCAGAGCAAAGGAGCTGAGAGTCTGCGGAAAGCCAGGTGGCCAGCCTTCCTGGGACAGAGTACTGAGGAGGAAGCCGCATCAAGTAATCTGGAGATCTGCAGAGGGTCCTCAGAAAGCCTTTCTGATGCTGAATTAAGCAAAGATTTCTTAGCGACAACACCCAAAGCACTTTCCATTAAAAAAAAAAAAAAGATAAACTTCACTTCATCAAAATTAAGAACTTCTGCTCTTTGAAAGACCCTAGTAAGAGAATGAAAAGACATACTACAGAGTGGGAGAAAATATTTGCAAATCATGTATCTGATAAAGGGCTTGTTTCCAGAATACATAAAGAATTCTCAAAACGCAATAAGGAAACAACTCAATAGAAAACGGGCAAAGAATCTGAACGTCCACTTCACCAAAGAAGAGAAACGGACAGCAAATAAGCACATAACAAGATGCTCAACAGCATTCGTCATTAGGGAGACGCAAACTACAGCCGCTAGATAACCCACTATCGAAATGGCTAAAATGAAAAGAGTCTAGTCATGCCAAGTATTGGCAAGAGTGTGGAGAAACTGGAACTCTCATACACCGCTGGAGGAAACATAAAATGATACAAACACCGTCTTAGTCATCTAGTGCTGCTATAACAGAAATAACGCAAGTGGATGGCTTTAACAAACAGAAATTTATTCTCTCACAGTCTAGGAGGCTAGAAATCCAAATTCAGGGAGTCAGCTCCAGGGGAAGGCTTTCTCTCTCTGTCAGCTCTGGGGGAAGGTCCTTGTCATCAATCTTTCCCTGGTCCAGCAGCTTCTCAGCACAGGGACCCAGGGTCCAAAGGATGCACTGTTCTCCCAGCACTGCTTTCTTGGTGGCATGAGGTTCCTCTCCTCTCTGCTCAATTCCCTCTTTTATGTCTCAAAAGAGGTTGACTCAAGATACAATCCAATCTTGTAGACTGAGTCCTGCCTCATTACATTAACATAACTGCCTCTAATCCTACCTCATTCACATCATAAAGGCAGGATTTAGAACACACAGGAAAATCACATCAGATGACAAAATGGTGGACAATCACACAATACTGGAAATCATGGCCTAGCCAAGTTGACACACATTTTGGGGGTGATACAATTCAATCCATGACAACACTTAACAAAATAATTCAGCAATTTCTTAAAAAATTAAATATACACCTACAATATGACCCAGTAATCCCACTCATAGGTATTTACCCGTATTTCCATACAAAGACATGTATACGAATGTTCACAGCAGCTTTATTTGTGATAGCCCAAAACTGGAAACAATCCAAATGTCCATCAACAGGTAAACAGATAAACTGTGCATCATCCATATGATGGAATACTTACCACTCGGCAGTAAAAAGGAAAGGAAGAGCAAGGAGCCCCGAATAGCCAAAGCAATCTTGAAAAGGAACAAAGTAGGAAGACTCATACTTCCTGATTTCAAAACATACTATAAAGCTACAACAGTTAAAATAGCCTAGTACCAGCATTATGATAAGCATAGAGACCAATGGAACAGAATTAAAAGTCCAGAAATAAACTCATACATCTATGGTCAACTGATTTTTGACAAGGGTACTAAGTCCATTCAGTGGGGAAAGAACAATCCTTTTTTTCCATTCTTTTCTATTTAAATTTTATTTTGTTGTTGTTGAGAATATATACAGCAAAATATGCACCAATTCAACCATTTCTACATGTACAATTCAGTGACATTGATTACATTCTTCAAGGTGTGCAACCATTCTCACCCTCCTTTTCTGAGATGTCCCTGCCCCATTAACATAGATTCACTGTCCCTAAGGCTCCTATCTTTAGAGTTGCTGTTGTTGCTTTGATCCCATATAAATAGCTCTTAAAAGAGCATAATGAACAAGGCAGACATTTTTTACTAGTTAAGCTAAACTATTGTTTGGTTTTAAGACTTTAGGGAATATTTTTGGTTTACGTTTTATGGATTATATGAGGGCAATAGTTTCAGGGGTTTATCCAGCCCCCTTGGCTCCAGAAAGTCTGGAGTTTACAAGAATTTTAAATTCTGTTCCAAATTTTCCCCCTTTTGTTCAGAATTCTTCTATAGAATCGTTGATCAAAATGTTCAGTAATAGTAGCCAGGCACCATCCAGTTCTTCTGGTCTCATGGCAAAGGAGGCAGTTGTTCATGGAGACAATTAGCTACACATTCCATATCCTCCTCCTATTCCTGACTCTCCTTCTTCCTTTGTTGTTCCAGGCAAATAGAGACCAATTGTTGTGCTTTGGATGGCCGCTTAAAGAATAGCCTCTTTAATAAATGGTGCTGGGAAAACTGGCTTTCCACATGCCAAGGAATGAAGCTGTACCTATATCTCACACCATATACAAAAATTAACTCAAAATGGATCAAGGACCTACATGTGAAAACTAAAACCATAAAAAAAAACTCTTAGAAGAAAACATAGGGGTAATGTTTCGGGACTTAGTTTTTAATGATAGGTTCTCAGATATGACACCAAAAGCACGAGCAGTAACAGACAAAATAGATAAGTTGGATTTCATCAAAATTAAAAACCTTTGTGCATCAAAGGACTTTATCAACACAGTGAAAAGACAACCTACCGGTTGGGATAAAATTTTTAGGACCCATATATCTGATAAGGGTTTTACATCCAGAATATGTAAAGAACTCCAACCTAACAACACAAAGACAAATAACCCAATTTAAAAATGGGCAAAGTACTTGAAAAGACATTCCACTAAAGAAGATATACAAACAGCCAATAGGCACGTGCAAAGATGTTCAAGGTCATTAGGGAAACGCAAAGCTAAACCACAACGAGATACCACTTCACTTCCACTAGGACAGCTATTACGAGAAAAATAGAAAACAACAAAGATGTTGACAAGGATGTGGAAAACTCAGAATCCTCATCAATTGCTGGTGGGAATGTGAAACAGTGCAGCTGCTGTGGAAAACAGTGTGGCAGTTCAAAAGTTAAATACAGAACTATCATATGATCTAGCAATTCTGCTCCTAAGAATATACCCAAAAGACTTGAAAGCAGGGACTCAAGAAGACACTTGTATACCAATGTTCACTGCAGTATTATTCACAATAGCCAAAAGGTAGAAACAATTCAAGTGTCCATCAACAAACGAATAGATTAAAAAAAAATGTGGTATATACCTACAATGGAATATTATTCTGCCAAAAACAGAAACAAAGTCCTGATAGATGCTACAACACGAATGAATCTTGAAAACATTTTGCTGAGTGAAATAAGCCAGACCCAAAGCGACAAATATTGTATGATCTCACTTATTTGAACTATCTAGAATAGACAAATGTATAGAGACCAAAGTGTACCGGTGATTACAAGGGGAATCACTGCTTACGGGGCGCTGAGCTTCTGTTAAGGATGATGAAAAAAACTGGAAGCAGACAGTGGTGACGGTTATACAACATAATGAACGTAATCAATGTCACTGAATTGCACACGTAAAAATGGTTAAAATGGCAAATTTTATGTTATATATGTTTTATCACAATAAAACTTTTAAGAAGATTAGAAATCATTCCCTATTTCAAGATGGGTAAATTGAGATTCAGAGAAGTCATATGACATATGACATCAGAAGAAGGAGGTTGGAAAAATAAATAAAACTGATGCTGTTAGAAGTCAGAACAGTGGCTACCCCTGGACAGGGGTGTGCATTAACTAGAAGAGGGGGGCAAAAGGGGGAACCCTCTGGGCTGATGATAACAGCCTGGGTGCTGGTTACATGAGCATGTTCAGTTGG